ACCGCACTCACACACACCGCACTCCTTCCTTTCTTTTCTCCTGCGGCCTAACTTCTTCCATATGCCCTCGCTCACGCACGACAACTCTTTTCCCTCATAGACCGCATCACACACGCCGCACTCCTTCCTTTCTCTTCTCCCACGGCCTAACCTCTTTCATATGCCCTCGCTCACACACGACAACTCTTCTCCCTCATAGACCACACTCACACATGTCGCACTCCTTCTTTTCTCTCCTCCCGTGGCCTAACCTCTTTGATACGCCCTCGCTCACGCACGACCTCACCTCTCCCCCACCGACCTCTCTTCTACGCCACATTTTTTCCTCTCTCTCCTTCCGCAGTCTAACCTCCTCCATACACCTCCACTCATATTCACATAGCTCCTTCGCCTACAACAAATTTTCAAATCCACATCAACTAACAGGAAACTTAAAAATACCGTACCTCTTATTTCCATCTTCCTTCCTTCCACCAATCGCACTGTCACCGTCCTCTTTCTTCTTCTCTCTCCCTTCTCGTTCCTCTCCACTCCGACTCCTTTCTCTCTCTTTCTCGAATCTTCTTTTCCCTCCCTACTCTCTTTCTTTTATGTTTTCTCTTTTCTCTTTTTTTTTTCCTTTCCCTCTATCTCCCTTCTCTGTTTTCTCTTTTCTTTTTTTCCTTCTTTTCTTTTTTCTTTCCTGTCTCCTATTTATACGTCACATGCCTCTCAAAACGACGTCGTTTCCTCCTCTCTTTTTTTCTTTTTCTTTTTTTTTCTTTCTTCAATTACTACAAACATGCATTAGTTATATATATACACATATATATACATATATATATTAAACATCCTTTCGCATCTTAACCCCAAATGGCTGGGGAGAGAGAGAATTTCATAATTAGGGTTTTGTATAAGAAGACCTTTTTATTTTCTATATTTTTTCTTTTTTATCTTCAAATTGAAAAGATAATGAGAACCAAAGGTGTTAAATTTTTATATCATTCTAACATTCGAGCTATTTTTGCTCATAACCTCTTCTACAGTATTATTATGGCAGTAAAATTTAACCATTAAATTCGGAATGATAAAACTTTAAAAAAAATTTAAAAATATACATTTAATAACCTAACATAAGTCTAAATTATTGTCCGAAAAAAAGAAGAGAGAAAAAGAATTTTGCAAAAGACAATTCAGTCTTCTCACCATTTCTCTTATTTTTGTTTATAAAAAAAAGATGAATCATTCATTTCCAAAATGAAAACGTTTAGTTATAAAAAATAAAATAAAATAGAAGTTAAAACTTTGACATATTTCAAAGCATACATGAAGGTAATCCATTACTTTATGTATTTTTTTATAAAAATATAAAAATTATATCGAAGTTTTAATTTATTATGACTATTTTAAATAAAATAATTTAATTATAAGATAATGTTATTTTTGTTAATAAACGTAATAAACTTACTAAACTTATACCTAGTATCAATAATATATTAATAAATTAAATTTTTATTTTTATTAAATTAAATATTATAAATCTGTCACTGTTATTTCACAATATACTCACAAAGTATTGAATTTGATATTTTTAATAATATTTAATTAAATATTATAAATTTATTACTATTATTTTATAATATATTAATAAAATAATAAATTATATATTTTTAATAATATTTATCAACAACTATACTTATATTAATATGTTATTGTAAAGTAATCCATTACTAGTGCTGGGTGCTCTTTTTTTTTTTTTTTTTTGCTCTTTATTTTATGGTAAACGTTTATATTGATGGGTTTATTGGAAAACTTTTGGTTGTCCACCTCTCTTTATCTGACACGTATGAAATTCGAGATTTTATTTGAAAAAATGAATTTGCATTTTATAATTTTCAAATATAATCATACCCTAAACTCCAAAAGAAGAAAAAAAAAAAAAAAAAAAGAAAGTAGTTGTAATTAGTGGTCACGAAAGTTGGCTTCTGAAGAAATAATTATCTAATTTCTATACGCACAAATTGCTGAATTATATATAATAACCTATTTATTCCTTAACCACCAAGTAAAATACAAACATATATTATCAACTCTCCTTTATAAAAGTAAACATATATTTCGTGCCATTATATTTTGTCTTTGTTATTAATGAACGTACGGAATGAAATTAGATAGACACGAAGAGGAGAATTGCGACAATCTTTGTAATTAATGGAAATTAACTAAAACGTGAAAGATTAAATGAGTCATTAAAATGCATAATAATAATGATTAAGATGTTAATTATAATATATATATATATATATACATAATCATTATGATTATAAAATTTAAAAAAAAAAATAAGAATTAATTGGGAAGCCTCGTGGTTGGTAAGACGGCTTAATCGAATTTTAGGTGATAACAAAGAGTTCATTTTGATGATGACAATTAACAAAATATTATTACTTGATCTCAAATCGGACACGTGTAATAATTTTAGCTGTTGTTATTAGGTCAGAATATTTTGATTTAATATTTTTAAATTTGTTTAATAATCGATAAACTAAACTATTGAGATTAATAATAATTTAATTTACGTTATTTTTATTTTATATGAAATAACATGTTAAATAAATATAATGTGTTTCTGAATTTATAATTATCAATATATCTCTGTATATCACAATATTTAATTATAAATTTTTAATAATGATTATAATAATCTTTTAATTTGTAAGATTTTTATTTATACGAGAAAATATGTATTTACATTTATTATCATTAATGTATATATATATATATATATGTATGATATTGTTCAATAGTACAATAAATGTGGTGTCGTATTATTTTAATATTATTTGAATTAATATAATTATCTTTATATACTCATAAATTTTGAGATTATTGTATTAATATATAAATTAGTTATATACGTGTGTGTGTGTGTGTGTATATATATATATATAATAAAAAAAAAAACGAATAACGTCAATATATTATTACTATTTAGTTCTTTAAATTTCTAATATGATATTCCTTAAAAAAATTGATAATAATTTATAAAATGAATATACATTAATATAATATTGTAATTTAATTACTTTATAAATTTTAAATAAATTAATAAATAAATAAAATATATGATACATCGTGGTTTATAGATAACACATAAATGAAAGAAAAACTAAATAATTGAAATACCAATGTTGTATATGTTTATTTATGTCTGCAGTTGAAAAATATTACTTGATATTGACATTAATTCATGATAAATTTAAAAAATTTCAATATCACAACGTAGAATTCATATTTTCCTCTAAAAAAAAAAAGGTACATTATATATAAATTTGATCTTGGTCTTCTCTAGCATAATGACTCACTCACGTACATACACGGACTCTAAATTCCAAGAAACATTACTAAAAGCTATAATATAAGTTCTTAATTAAATATCACAGAGCTAAAATTTTGAAATAATATGAAGATATATAGGGACCAACACATAATTGCACAATGAGTCCAAATATAAATTTACATTAAAGTATTTATTGGTGATTTTTCAGTTTTTTTTTTTTTAAAAAAAAAATAGGAATTGGCCATGTGATCACGTGGGTTGGAGAAAGTCAGCCAATAAGAGACAGTTGTAAGTTCTGTGCACCGTCAACATCACCATCACTCCAAGAATAATTTTATTTTATTTTTTTTAAAATTTATTTCCCTCATTTGGGTTACAGCTAAAATATTAATTTTTACAAATATATATATATATATATATATTTGAAGAATTATCAGATTACCTGAACTCTTTAAAAAGTATTTATTGTACTCCTACCCGAAGCAGATATCAATTAATACACCTTACCAAATTTCCAATTAATTATCAAATGTATTATTGTGAATAATTAATTATTCAATGAATATTATACGTAAACTGAATAAATTATCCTATAAATTATAAATATTTACATGTATAAATTAGCCGAATTTAGCAGCATTACCAGCTGGCTGCCACTGGAGTCACAGCTGGAGAGCCAGCTGGTATTACACTAGTGGAGGCAAGGAATATTACTTGTCCCAAGAAACCACTCGCTACTCCCCAACCTTTCTCTTTATTTGACCTCCATTTTTCACTCCTCCATTTATTTACCATTCCCTTTTACTCTTTTTTTTTTCACTGTTACTTAATTTATAGATTTACTGGTGAGTTTTACTTAAGATTATTTCGGGGTCGTTTTTTTAATTAAAAAAAAAAAAAAGATTGAGAATTAAAAATTTATAATTCATCCCAGTTGCCAATTACCTTTCACACCCAACTTTATGGCTTCTGGATTAGATATCATTGACTGAAAGTAATATTTTTTAAAATAGTTTATTTTAGTGATTTACATTTAGTACTACGAGATTAAAATTTTAATTGTACTAATTTAATGTGAATTTTTTTTTTTTAAAAAGAAAAAATTGTCTTGAGATCTAATTTTAAAATATTATTATTGCTAGAGTTACCAATTGTAACACTACCATAATTCTTTTTTTTTTTTGTATATACTTTAAATGATAAATTGTGACATCGGAATATTCGATTGCTTTTGAAAATTCCGGTGAAATATCTTGCAGACCTTAATTATTAACGTTTGAATGATTTATTCAAACTTAATTATTCTATCGGACAGTTCATTTTTGTCGCTCACTGCCGGTGCTCATAAATTTTCTCAGTAAACATAAACGGTGCCGTTTATATCAGATCTAGGCCCCAAAACGACTTCGATCTGCGTTAATCCCCTAAATTGTACACCGCGTAAATAAATACGTTAGCATAAAGATCATTCAAAAAATATATTACACCAACGATCACGCACTCGATGTCTTCCCAAACCCACGCGCTCCACCGGCAGTTTCCTTCTATTATTATTTTAAGAAGATAAGACCATCAACTTTCCTTCTTCTTCCTCCTCCAAACACCACACAGACAAACAAAAGAAATAAATAAACAAGGAAAGTAAAAAAGAAAAAAAAAAAAAAAAAAAAAAAAAAAAAAAGGAAGAAAAGTAAGGGAGAATCTCATATTAGTAGCCAAATTCGTTTTCTTTCTTCCATTACAGCCCAATACCCCCTCCCTCCCCTCTCTCTCTCTCTCTCTTTCTCTCTGGCAGAGAGAAGAAAAAGAAGAATACCGCGTCTGGTTAATTAGATTACAAGAATTTTAACCAAAAACGCGTTGAGTTTTCCTTTCTCTCCTTTCTGCTTCCACGTATTATCCCTCAAATTTTCTAGGACTGTCCCTATCTGGGTTCTTCTACTTTTCTTTTCGATGCCAATGGAAAGTGAAGTTCAATAAACTCCATTGAAGGGCATCCCTGTTATTACATTGTTTTCGCTGTCAAGAACTCATAGTCAAGAGTTTCTTGGAGAAAGAAGGGGTTGATAATGCAGATTCTTTCCCGGCTGTACGCCACCATTTTAATCCTCCTATTGGTGTCTCTGGTTCTTCCGCCATTTTGCCTCGGGATTCGCTCCATCCCGACGGTCTCCGTCGACGGCGGGGCCGACGGGTTCGACTCTCGATTCGCTGAGGCGCCGGACTACCGTAACGGGGCGGAGTGTCCACGGCCGACAAATCGGGATTTTGCATCTTCCTGCGACACGTCGCTGGTCCACATCGCCATGACCCTCGATTCTGAATATCTCCGTGGCTCCATCGCAGCAGTCCACTCGGTCCTGCGCCACGCGTCGTGCCCAGAAGATATTTTCTTCCACTTCATCGCTGCCGAGTTCGACCCAGCGAGCCCTCGGGTTCTGAGTCAACTCGTTCGATCCACGTTCCCTTCCCTCAACTTCAAGGTCTACATATTTAGGGAGGACACCGTCATCAACCTCATCTCGTCATCCATCCGTCAAGCCCTGGAGAACCCGCTGAACTACGCTAGAAACTATCTCGGAGACATCCTTGATTTCTGCGTCGAGCGAGTTATTTACCTTGACTCAGACCTGATCGTGGTAGACGACATTCACAAACTGTGGAACACGACGTTAAGTGGGTCGCGAGTAATCGGTGCGCCCGAGTACTGTCACGCCAACTTCACAAAGTACTTCACCTTTAATTTCTGGTCAGACCCGGCATTGACCCGGGTATTTTCTTCTAGAAACCCTTGTTATTTCAACACGGGGGTGATGGTGATGGATTTGGTGAGGTGGAGAGAAGGGAGTTACAGGAAGAGGATAGAGAACTGGATGGAAATTCAGAGAAAGAGGAGGATTTACGAGTTGGGTTCTCTGCCTCCATTCTTATTGGAGTTTGCGGGTAATGTGGAAGCCATTGGTCATGAATGGAACCAGCATGGACTGGGTGGGGATAATGTGAGGGGAAGTTGCAGACTGCTGCACCCTGGTCCGGTGAGTTTGCTGCATTGGAGTGGGAAAGGGAAGCCATGGGTGAGACTGGATGCTAAGAAGCCATGTCCATTGGATCATCTTTGGAAGCCTTACGATCTTTACAAGCCAAATAGCAAGAGAGTGAAGGATCAGTCACCGGGTTATATTTCACCTTCTTCCTCATTGAAGATTGAGCATTACAGTTACTTGTGAGAATGATTCTTTCTTGTTGGGTTCATCTCTTTTGTTGTTACATTGTTGCAGAGATTCTTTGATAGGTATTGTACAGATTTTATTAGAGACCAGAAGGGGGAAAGATTAATGGGTTGAGGACGATGGGATTTTTTTGTTTTTTTTTTTTTGTTATTGAAATTTTCTTCTGATGATTTCGTTCTCTGTATTTTGTTTCCACATATAAGATTTCAATTGTTGGTTGGAGGGTTCCAATTCCTTGGAACAATTTTGGTGGGTTTGATTTCTTTGTATGTAAATTTGGATGATGGAGAGGAATAACAAATAGTTGTTCTTTTGTTTTTTTCCATTAATTTCTCTGGATATTTCATGTTTTGTTTTAGAAATTTATCAGCTTTATTTCATTGGGATTTGGCAAATCTACTTTCTCTTTTTACCTAAAAGGAAAAGAAAGAAAACAACAATGTATAAGCTGGTAGCCAGTTTTTAAGCCATTATTGGTTCTGATTTCAATTGCTGAAGAATTAGTGTCATTATAAAAGCTTAAAACAAAGAGGATGAAGAAATAGGCATAAGCATGCTTCTTTGTTTTTTTTTTTTTTTTAAAGTATATTTATTTAGTTAAGAAATTATGGAATTTCTACCCATAAAACTTGAAATTCAAAAATTATAAAACAATTTTTTAAAGTTATGATTAATGCTTACTATTATATGCCAACCCGATGACATTATATATTGTGCATCTTGTGTGTATATGTCCATTTCTTAATAAAATGTATAAAAATTTAATAAAATACATTTTAACTTTTACAAGTCAAGAAAAATAATTTACTGTTTTGGGTTTCTAAAAAACATATGATTGTTATATATAAGAGAATAATGCATGGGTTGGTTGTAGTGGCCTTTTTATCCTATTGGGTTACTCAACCAAACGTTTGTCTTACATTTACATTCACATGAGCCAAGCATCATATACATATTCAAACTCTTTATGCTGAAGGCAACAGCAGACCTAAATCTTGTTTTTAGTTTGTTCTTTATTCAATATAGGTTATTAGTATATAATAAATTATAATTAAGTTTAGTATTACTCAAATACAATATTAATGTTATTGTTTACAAAACTTGGATTGTACATTAGACGTTTTCAAATTTGTTAAGGTCCGCCCCCCCCAATTGGTCACATTCTTCATATATATTATGCTAAATAATCATTTTTATAGACATTGAAAATTAGTTTATTTTATTTATTTTAAAATTTGTTCTACATGAATGAAATTATCAGAAAAATATAATGAAATTATTGGGAGAATTCAATGAAGTTTGGTAGTTGAAAAAGAATTTCATGTAACGTAATGAAAAAATCTTTAAAAAATAAAGTAAATAATTTACTAATTCATAAATGATGTACGTCAATCATGAAAGTCATTGCAAATTGTTTTTATAAACAAATAAAATATTAGATAGCCGTTAAGAGGTCGATTTTGATGTGAAAAACTTCAGACTTCCATGACACGCATCGCATCCCTTCACCCAAATAATAATAATAATAATATGACAACCATAAATAAATAAATCAATAATCAAAATTTAAAATAATGACCCTCCAAGATTTCTACGGATCCTGGCAATATCTTGGCCGTTGATCTGGAATGCTCCCTTCAACACCTCATCGGGAATCAACGGCTTTGATTTAAACATGGCTACAGAACCAACTTGGGCCCCTGGATTTTGGCTGTTCATCCCGGAAACGGCAAGTGCTGGGCTCATTGAGTCCATATTATAAATAAAATGAATGAGTCCCTTTGGAAAAATAAAAGACTCACCCACTCTTAACTTTTGGGTAAAGAGGCGGGCTGAGGTGTCCACAAAGCCCACAAGAACGGAACCCTCCAAGCAAATGATGACCTCGGAGGCTCGTGGGTGCGAATGAGGCGGTACAAGTCCGTTAGCTTCAATGTCAACCCGGGCCATGGTGAGGCCCATGGTGTTGAGACCAGGCAAGTTAAGGGTGTTTGTTAGAGTGACGTTAAAGCCGAAGGGGTTGGCTTTTGTGTCTCCGGGCATGGCGAGAACTGATGTGCTGAAATGGGAAGAGCGAGCAAGGGCTGGGTCAATGCAGGGCGCGCCATTGGTATAAAAGGATAAGGCGGGTTTCGGATTAGCGACGCAATAATCTTGAAGTGGGTCGGGATCGGGTTTAACTTGGTCCAATAGAAAAAGATTGAGGGCGAGACATAAGTGGAGCAAATGGAAAATGGGTGTCATGATTGTTGTGAAATGAGAAGCTAAAGTTGAGCAAGTTTTGGTTTTGGAGTGGTGAATTTGAAGAGTGTCAAATAACAAGTTGTATGCATAAATAATTATATAGTGGGGTTTGGGAAATAATTTAAAGGTAAATAAAAATTGAATCTTGAAGTTTGAATGTTGAGTAGCTTAGGAGGATGGGAAGAGGGAAAAACAAGGCAAGTCATGTGGGTTGAAATATACAATAACAAAAAGATTGAAGGTAAACTACTTATGTTTTTTTAGCCCTAAAGCATAAAATAGGAATGGCCCATGATTGATCCACTAGGAATTGAAAGGAGTGGGGTTGACAAATTGAAATATATAAAACATGGGATTAGATACAAGATTTATGTAGTTATTGATCCCCTCATATCAAGTTCATTGAATTAATTTTATAGGTTACAAGTAATAAGTGTAGATTTGTAGATTAACTTTCTTTTAAGAAGAAGACATAAATTTTTTAATTTTGATTTTAGTAATAAGAAGTGGGTTGCATGATTTTCAAGAAGAACTTAATCTTAATACTAAAAACAATATAAATTAAGAAATCATTAATGATTATAATAAGAGGTCCTTTTTCTTTCCTTTCTAATTGGCATTCAAGCCAAATGATTGTACTTTACCCCTTTTGAATAAAATCTCAATTTTTGCATATCCCATGAAAAAATCTAATCTGTGCAACACGTGATTTGACAACTTCTTTTTCTTTTTAGAATAACACTTTGATCTATAATATAAAATCTAATATAATTCAAATGATAACACATCGATTACCATAATTACGGACAAAAATACATAATTGGGCTAAATTTTCCTTGTTTCAAGCACGAGAGGACAGAAAGTATAAACGACACCGTTTCACTGCTCTTATCGGGAAATCTCCTTGTCGATGCTGTGTCACTCTGTTTCAGTTCAACGTATTCAAACCAAAGGGTCCACAAGCGTCCCCATGGAGGCTTGATATTTAATTTCAGAGAGCTGTCAACTTGTAGATCTCTCTTTCTCTCCTCCTCACTGTGCAGAACTACTTTTTTTTTTTTTTTTTTTTTTTCATTTTTCTGTGAGGGTCCAGCTTCCTCATCTCCTTTCATGGTTGATCTGATCTCTTTATCTTTCTCTCCGAATTCTTGACCAACAAGTTTGATTTGTTTAAGATCTGTTCGGATATTTTGTATAATCAATGTAATCTGTTGAGTTTCATAATTATCCAACTAAGCTTTCTGTTTAGTAAAGCCTTTCTTTCTTTTTCTATTTCCCAATTATTTTATAAGGCTAAAACTGTTTCAACTCATTAATGCGGGACCAGGAATAGTAATTACAAGTGAAATCATCTTTTAAGGCTCATGATAATAAATGGGTTACCTTCACTTTTTAGGTTTTTTCATTATTATCCTCTCTTTTTACATGCATTTCTTATTGTATGCAAACATGAAATTTTAATGGTGCATCATTTGGGGACTTTCCAGAAAAGCATCAGAAGCAGACAAGAGATTTTGTTTGGCTTCTGGGAAATGGGGTTGAGTGGTAACAGAAAATTGGAATAAAAGAATAGAGAAAAAAAAGGTAGAAAAAAGAACATAGGATTTAACACAAGCACATGCCTTCTATGCTTTTCTTCTTCATTGGCTGCATTTTCTTAGATCTTCTTTTTGTCCCCATTTTAACTCTGCTTATTCTTGGTCTTTCAGTGTGATCCAGTTGGCTGGGGTTTTGAATCCATGCTTGTGTAAAACTGTCGGTTGTGTTGGTGTGGTAGGTCTGTGGTAGTTCGGCGTCTGGTAGTGGAAAATTAATGGGTGAATCTGTAGCTGCTGCTTCAAATGATGAACACAAGGTACAGTACCCTTTTTGTCTTTTCACTCTGAAAAAATATTACCCATCTGCTTAATCCAAGTTCTGTTGTTGTTTCCTTGTTAATTTTGTTCGTTAGTGAATGTAGATTAATTACTTGTTGATTTCTAACTTGTAACTGGGAATTTCCCATATTTGCTGTGTCACATAATTGAAAATTCCCATGTCTTCCATGCTGATTATTAACCTGTTTATGTCCATAACTGCAAAGTTTTCCGTGCTTTATGTTGTATTGGAAAATCTCAGTCTATTTCTTGCTTGAATTATACCGACTTGAGCTTTATTTTTGTTATCTTGGATAAACAGATGGGCGAGGGGGTTAATTCAAATTCAGCTCTTGAAGTGTCGGTTTCATTTGGTAGATTTGACAATGATTCACTTTCTTGGGAGAAATGGTCATCATTCTCTCCAAATAAGTATATGGAAGAAGTTGAGAAGTGTGCAACACCGGGATCGGTAGCTAAGAAGGCGGCTTACTTTGAAGCCCATTACAAGAAGATTGCTGCACGAAAAGCGGAGTTATTGGATCAGGAGAAGCAAACGGAAAGTAAATCCTTCACGTCAGGTAATCTAATTTGTGGAGATCTAAGTGAAAATACTTGTGGAGCTGATTCCAGGTTTAGTATATCTACTGGTCAACGTTCTTCTGAAGAAGATAAACATGAAAACAACTTGGTCAGTCAGTTCAGTGAGGCTCATGTCGATAAGCAGAATGAAGATCCTCCAGGCAATATAGAGTGTCAAATGCCATTAACCGAGGAAGTGAAAGAGGAAATAGATGATAGTTTAGATTCAGGTAGAACGAAGTTGGAAAAGCCAGAAGAAGCTGCTTTAGTAAATGAAGAAGAAGAAAAAGAAATTTGTTCCAAGGGGTCTCAAGATACAAAAGAAATGCTGCAGAACATGGATAAAGATATCGAAAATACTAAGACTACAGAGAAAAGCATGAAGGTGGATCATCCAAGGATTTCTCAGAAGGTGAACCTGATATGCTACGAACAATTTCTTTTACTTATTTACTTCTTCATTCTTTTCTGGGCAGTCGGGGGAAAGGGAGGTGAACAGGAAAGCATGATTTTATATGTCATTGTTTATATCTGTGTAAAGGATGGTTTTCTCAATTCTGGCTTCTAATGTTATCTACAAAAATTTCTTATTTAGGCCAATCTAATGAACAACAGAACTACGACCAAAAAGAATACTCCAGTGAGTAAGGAGAGAAGTGTGGCAGGGATAAAGAAGAAACCTGTATCATCCGTGACTAAAGCACCAGAATTTTCAACCCCCAGGATGTCAAGGCCAAAGCCTACTTCAACTGTCATGCATATGTCCATGTCAAGATCTTCAACAAAGAAAGAGAATGTCTCAACTCTACCAAGAAGCAACCAACCTTCCTTAGGAGGAAGCAGAAAAATGGCCCCAAAATCCTTGCATTTGTCCCTTAGTTTGGGCCCTTCAGGTTCTGATCCTGCATCTCACACAGCAATGCGGAAATCTTCCATTATGGAGAAAATGGGTGATAAGGAAATTGTGAAACGAGCATTTAAAACATTTCAGAATAGTTTCAGCCAATTGAAATCCCCTGGTGATGAACGGACTGCAGCACCAAAGCAGGTCCATCTTCTTCTCTTAATTACACATCAGCTGGGATATTTGTGGTCTATTTAATTGATCTTTTGGATCTCAATCTTCATTTACATAACTTATTTCCAGTTGTCGTAAACAGGTGGCTGCGAAGGGGATAAATTCAGGATTTTCTACTCTTTCAACTCCAAGAAAAGAGATGGCAGGGTATGTTTGTGGTTTAAGATTTGTCTGCTGATAATTCTGTAATCTAGAAAGTGCTTATTGTTGTCAGTATAATATACATGACAGCTGTAATGCTTTTTATTCATGTGATATTTGCATTTTGCCAACTAGACTGGTCTGTTATATATGTGAATACTTTTTCTATGATCTGCTGCCATTATGTTTACTTTGATTGGAACTCCTGTTGGCACTATTAAACTAATAGAAACAGTCAAGAATCTATAAACACAATAAACAGAAGAGTGAGCAAAATACAACTTTTTTGGTGTCGAACAAGCTGAATTCTGGATTTTTGGGTGAAATAGTTTCTCAGCTGTTGACCTATCAGTTAATTTTTAATTTACTATGCTACCAAAATCCTCTATCAGTTACTTTGGAATTAAGGCTTAGTGGAGTTCATTTTCGTGGAATGAATTCTATAATGTATAAGTGCAGTAACCATGCAATGCTAATTGTAAGTGTAAGGCATACTGAAAGAAAGTTGAGTAAAAATAAATATTCCATGCTTATTTTTCACAAAGAGGAAAAGATTAGCTATTTATTGTAAGTTGCAATAAATCTGAACATACTATGTAGAAAGGATTAAGCAAACAGAGATACAAGCTGTCATAGGTTAAGGGATGCATACTCGCACATTGAGCATCTGTCGCAATCATTGAACTTCATGACATCTGCAACGATCGCGTGATTGTATTGTTTCCTATTAAACTACAAGTTAAAATAAAACATTGTCAATCCATTTTCCATTGCTGCATTTACAAATTTGAAATCGAGCAACTTCCCTGATTTATGTTGCTACTAATGACTGTAAATTAGAAGCTGTATATTTCTCTTGATAGAGATACATTCTAATACATTTCCATTTAGCGCCCAAAACTGCAATCTGTGCAAATAACAAATGCTCTTTCCTTGTTGTTCTGGGAAGTTGATTTCATTGTGTGGTTTGGAACAGGTCCCCGTTATCAGGCAGCATGGAGAAAAAGAGTTCGAAGTCTGCACCAGTTTCTTTTGGCTTGAAAAGTAATGGAAGTACAGAGAAACAAAAAGAGGTATCCATTCCCGCCTCCTTTAACTCTGATGCTATCTTGCACTTTCAGATACACATACCCAATCCCACAAATTCTTTTCAAGTATGATGAAGTAGTACCTTCACTTAGCCACATAAATCGGCGTTTCTTCTACAATTCCTTTTTCAGTTTTCCAAGAAATCAGAGAAGTTCAATTCTAGGCAGGCAGAGAGGATGACCCTTAAGACAAATCCAAAGGTCAGGTTAAATGCATTTTTTTCTTTTGATAATAGTATATTTTCCCATCTTCATTCACAGAGATTAGTTGCACAGTCATCATGAATCAGCTCATTTCTGTATGAAAAATTAGAGCAGTAAATTTCTCCTGGTATTTATATCCACAGATTGTAACTTTCTGCTGGAATATACAATTGATAGATCATCATCAATAATATTCCATATGCTGTTTCTAATGTTTATAGTATCTCAGAATCAATTTTTTTTTGCAGGAGAGCATGACAAAAAATCTAAGCCAAAGCCTTAATTTAAAAACCACACCAACTGAAGGTCTTAATCAGGGAGGGAGGATATCTAAAGGTCCTTCAGATAAGGTAAGTCCAAACTTTTTTAGTTCTATTTTTCTTTAAATTCTTTAAATGAGTAATCCTCAGACCACATAGACGTAAGATTTGCATTTGGTGATAATTTTTCTGGATACCGACTAATTTATCATTAATTGTTTAGAATGGGAGATCAAACTTATATCCTCTTGATTAAGACAGATTTAGTTTTAGTTATATCTAATGTGTTGTTGATTGAAAAGTTCGCAAGTTGGAAACAGAGATGCATATTCTCCCTTAGTTATTCACTCTTGTATTGATGAAAAATGGTTATTTTGGTAGCTGCCTTGCTGTACTCCTAATTATGAGCTTAGCATCTGCCACATACCCCACAGAATGATTGTTTATGGGAGAAGATAATGACTTACAGCTGTTAACCAGCGTGATACTCATTTCTCTTTTTAGAAGCATGTAGTACTTGAGAGTGGTAAATTTACTTCATGATTTGTCTTGTCAGCTAAGATCTTTTGAGATGGAACTTGTCAAAGGTTTTGTTGATTAGTTAAAATGCTTCTATAGGATTCTTGTGGTATAAAGTTTATGTTTAAGCTTCCACAAAGTCCTTTTTAAAGTTTGAACATGAACATGAACATGTCCAGCTTAAAATTTTTTCACATTTATCATTTTATTCTTAGGCGGCAACTTGTTAATAATGACCTTGGGACGAGAAGTCATCATTTTTTTCCTTCTAAGCACTGTTTATTTTTAAACAAATTTCTGGCTGACACTGATAATTAGATCCGAATGATAACAGCAACCAAATTGAAGTTTGAGGTACTGAGAATTACTGACTATGTATGGTAAAAGTATAGTTTCGAATTGAATTGAAGTACTGGTTTTAGTATTTATTGGCATTGGTGATTTGTCTTGTGTTTTTTTTATCTTTTCTAATGTTATTGTCATGTAAGAATCCTGCTTTCAATATTTTTTACCATAAGAAATCACTATAGCATTAGTCTTATTTTCTGAATTAATAATGGAACTTGCGACTTTTGCAGGGACTTTGGGCTAGGAAACTTGCATCATCAACCAACAGCATGGGGAAAATCAAGAATTTTTAACATAATATGTTGCTGATTTTCTCAGTGGAGAAGAAGATATTTACAACGAAGACATTGATTGATTTCCCAGTAAGGACCCATGCCACAGTATCTTTGCTAAGCTGTCAATTGAGGGGTCACATTATGTGCATGTGAAAATGGCAACAATAAACACAATTCAGTATCAAATCTTATTGCCTTGGTGGTGTTATATCCATAGTGCTGGAGATAAAAGTTGAGGCTTTGTTGTCCTTCATTGATGAACTGCAACCTGCCTATGCTGTGTAAATATATCGGAAGAGCATGAATTTCTAGGCTGTGCTGCACTACCGAGTCATGTCAGAAAAATCTCTGTAGTTTCTTTTGTGTCCAAAATAATTGCAAATAAATGTTCTGGCTTGATTTTCAGGGTAGACGATAACCTTATCTAGCTAATCTATGGCCTCTGCTATCAATCCAGTTGTTGCAACTTTTCTTTCATTTTAATCAGGCTACTTTAACTATTTTTTTTCCCTCTCCACTTGTAAAATCTCAGTAGTGTAATTGATTTTGTGGTATTTGAGTAGAGGAAGACAGTACATGACATGCTCATTGTTTTATCTGCACTCATTGTCCCTTTTCCTTAGGATGAAGAAAAAAAATTGAAATTTTTTTTATTCTTTCAAAAATCACCATGCAGTACTTTACATCTTGAGTTCTGAACAAATCCTATATACAGTAATCAATTATATTTCAGAGATGAATAAATATCCTACTTATTAAGAATCAGTATCCGATTTACTGGAAGTGCTCCTCGATTTGTCTGTCATGAAGTTCTCCGGCAAGATCGGGAACCTCACTGGTGTTCTTGATGCCAATGACTTGGGCGGTGATGATGATCCTCGTGCTGTATTTGATGCCTTCCTTCTCTGTAAATTCCTTGCAATCTCCACGCATACCTGATCAACCATGCTAAGAAAATCCTTAATAATAACAAACAGTTGTAGTGGGTTTGCTCCTTTATCTTTTGAAGCTCCTGCTTGATAGTATTCTGTTGTTCTCTTCAGATGCTCCATTACTCTTGCCTGCTCTTCTTTAACCGCCTTCAGTTCTTCCTCAGCCGAATCAAGAAATCCTTTCATCTTCCACATGAAACTTCCTTCTTCATCAGATGCACACTGGGACACAAGCTGTCGAATTGCTGCTGCTCGGCTGGTAAGAGTTGAGCACGTAGCAGCAAAGGTGTCGTAGTCTATTCCTGCTGCTTTCTTTACATTAGAGAACTCAGCGCTGAGGCCTCCTACAAGTGGTAGTCCTAGCATTACATATTCCTTTTCCTTCTCCTTTTTCAATCCTATGGTTTCAGGGTTTAGACTGCTGTTGCTGCTGCTGCTTCTGCTGCTGCTACGACTTAAGTTACGATTCCTATTGATAGCGCAGCGCTTACCTTCGGATATAACTACTTCTTCCACAACAAAATGAAGCAAAGTAGTCTTCCCATCAATACTTTTGACATCGGATAGTTTTCGAAGAGCATTAAGATTGAAAGCTTGAGCATTCCCTCTTGAAGTTCCAGCATTCATTCGATTGCCAGCCTTTAGGATTGCTTCGAGAAGTTTCATGAATAGTCCTCGAGTTCGAAGCTCCCTGCAGCCTAATTCAAGGATCTGTAAAGATTCTTTGAGATGGAGAATCTCAAAATCATAATTCATTCTGAAAACCATCGCATCCAAACGGGCAAAAGCTGATGGAATTGCTTTCAGGAGATGATAAAGGAAGGATTCAGCATCGGCAAGCCTTCTCGGGTCTCCCTCGAAATCAACTATCAGAGTTTCTTCCTCCTTGGTTGGAGCAATCCTAGTAAGTTTTTCAAGAGTGTCTGCATCTGTGTCACTGCCTTCAATTAGTACATTAATAATTTCTTGGCGAGACATGCCTAGAGACTTTAGTACAATTGCAGTATTCTGGGATTTCCGAGGATCCAGAATGAAAGTCTGTGCTGATGAATCAGGGTTGGTATTCTCTCCATTGTTCGAGTTGCGGTTTCTTGGAGGTGATTTCCTATTGGAAGCAACATAACCAAACAGAGCTTCCATAAAGTCACCATCAAACCTGAAGTTATCAAAAAAGAGAAACATAAAAAATGAGTAAACCAGGTTGATGAATTATTATTACCAAAATATGAAGACTATATATAT